TTTGAACTGCAACGGAAACATTTTCATTCATTGCTCCCCAACTACTTCTAACTGCTATATTGAGCTTCGAAGTTCTATAAATACAGAGGGGTTGTCTGCTGAATAAGACGACCATTTTTTAGAGACATTAAATTGCATCAAAGAGAGCTTTTGTTCTCACATCTTCTCCTCATCTCTCTCATTCACTCATATACTAGAGCATTCAAGAACATTATTCAAGTGCATCCAAGAAAGCTTTTGGCTCTACCATTATACAGAGCTTTTGTTCTGGTTTTACTCTCTCATAGAGCCTCTGTACAGACATCGATCTTTATCTCATATACAAGCTTCCATAGCTGAATCAGAATGAACTTCAGAAAGCATTTCGTGAGCCTTTGCTGAACTTTTATTCTAGTATTTCATCAGAGCTTTTGTTCTGCATTTTCCTCATCATCTCTCATACATTTCATACTTAGAGTTTGAGCTTCACTTGATTTCATATATACTCTATTGTGAGGTTTGATTTGTATCAGTTCTTGAGAGGATTTCTTGTACTACAAATTCTATCTACAAATCTGATGTAAGCCTAAGAGGAAGAGTTTCTCTTAGCAAAGAAATTGTAATGACTGGTGTGGCCTATGTATAACTAAGAGGGTGGCCTCTTAGTAAGGATATTGTAAGGGTTGGTGTGACCCAAAGGAAGACTAAGAGAGGTTTTCTCTTAGCAAGGAGTTACTTTTAATCAAGGTTTGCTCTCCACCCGTAAGGAAAAGCTATATTGGATTGGGAAGTCTCAAGAGGGATCTTGAGCCGAGGAGTAGGAGTTTCCGAACCTCACAAAAATCGTCGTGTTATAGTTTGTAATTTTTCTTCTCTTATCTCTTTTACAATTATACTATAAATTGTTTACTTTCATATCTTGATTTCATATGTTGATTATTCCACAATAGGTTATATTGTTGATTAGATATTGTATTTCTATAATTTGCGAAAATTGGCCATTGACTCTATTCACCCCCCTCTAGAGTCAATTCTTGGGTAACACCTCCAAAAAGGGATAACTGCAAAACTGGCCCAGAATGAAAATATCTTTCAAAAATATTTTCTTAAAAACCCTTGAAATAAATGTCTTTAAAAGTATTTATGAAAAACACCCCAAGAAACAAGAATGGTTCTGAAGAATCCTTTCATCCATACCCCTGTGGGAAAAGGAAACAATCGGCGAGCTTTTCTCTAAAAGTAAAGTTACGCGTTTCGAGGGAATCAACTGGAATGAAAACTCATGAATTCAAAACTCAATTCCGAACATGAAAAGTGAGGTTATGCCAAAAAGTAGCCAACGGGAAAAAAAAAACGAAAAATGAATAATGTCGAAAAATAAAAATATGAAAATGACGCGGTCCTTTAAGGAAGTTGTGAATTCAAAGGAAAGATTCTCGGAACCATCCCCGAGCACTCAAGACGATACTAAGTGACGAGAAATCGAACTTAGAAAAGAAAAGATCAACGAAAAAAAAAATATTCGAAAAATCTAAGAAAAAGGAAATGAATGAAAATGACCGGGTCATTACATTCCTTCTCTGATTATAGTTCCTAATTGGAACTAAGTCATGATTCAGTATGGAAATCGATGGATCTTCCTCCTTCGTTTTCCCACATACGGCGCTAGATGTACCAGAAAATGTATTTCTTTTAATGGAAATTTCCTTTTCTCGTATACCAAACACTCTGCCTTTCTTTCTTACCCCTTTCTATATTTATATCCCACATTTCATACCCTAATTTCCTTTCTTCATCTCCAAGTTATATCATATCTAACTTGACTTCATACTTGTGGGCTTTTCGATGGGCTGTTCGGATTGCAATGAGCCCAATCCAATTTTTTCTTAAGCGAGTTTCAGGACACATTGGGAACTGATTTAGTATTTAGGGGCAGTTCTTGTTAAGTTTGTGGCTCAAAATTGTGTGCAGAAATTAATTTATTTTTCCGTTTTGGAATGCTGAAATTTGTGAAGGAAATTGTGTCCCATAAAGTTTCTATTTTAGAGTTGAGATTGATATGGTAACTCTTTGTATGCAAGTTGGGGAATACTTGTCCAACAAGGAATTAGTTTTTGAAGACTCTATAAATAGAGATGGGTGTGAGGGATTTAGAAAGAGAAGAGAGAAAAGATGTAAGGGGTTTAAGGGTAAATATTGTGAGGAGAAAAGTGAGTATATGTAATTCCCGAGTGTATACATATAGCCTCATAAGAGATGATAAGTGAGTGAGTGGGGTTTTGACATGTGATTGTATATTCTCTTTCTTGCTTCATAATAGTGAAATCTCTCTCTCCCATGAACGTAACCCTAGAGTTGGGTGAACCATGTAATATATTATGTTATACGTGGATGTGTATGATTGTTATCTCCATATATGCTTGTGTTGATGTGATGTGATGATACTTCCGCTGTATGTGATGAATGAGGGATTAACTCTCACAACAACCGACCGCTAAGTGAGTTGGAGGGAGTTAATTATCCCAAACAATTCTTCCCTTTCACCATCGATCAATTGTTATAGGTGTCCCACATCAGATCTAGATAGAAAGTGAAATGGTAATAAGTTGGTGGGTATGCAGCACTACCCAATAGTTTAAGTTTTTTGATCCGTGGGTAAGTGTCCAACTTGTTACAGTTAATATCAGAGTCAAACTCAGTTTTTGATTCGGTGTCATGTTACGCGCCCCTCCTAGAGGTGTTCGAGTCTGCAACGAGTATACAAGGTGGCCCGATCCCAACGAGTTAGATCAACAAATAAGCACTCAACCCGTTATACAGTTTAAAAAAAGAGTCGAACACGACAACCCAATTCAACATATTTTTCCTACATATAAAGTTTGTTTAATTGACTTGATTTTACTAATCCAATAATGAAATTTGTTTTTTTAATTAGCTAAGTACTCACGAGTCACGTATATGTTATTGTCCACCAACGAAATTGAATCCCCTTCACCTCCTTTTTTTCTTTTCTTTTTTTTTTTTTTTTTCGTTCAAAGGCACAAAGACCAAAAGCCAAGATTGTAATACAGAGGCATAAAGCCAAGCCAGAAAAGGCATACAAATCTTGAAGCAAAGTAAATAAATGAAGAACAGGCTCTAGATTTGTGGAGGAAACATAGCCCAACACTCTACAAACGGAACCATCATTGGAGAATGCAGCAAACTGGAGAAACCGAAAGGTCTGGCTATCAGCACGGCAACCGCTCCAAAGTTACAACCACAAGGCGCTCCAACACACAAGAAACCCAACACAAGATCAAATTAAGGGGAAAAAGATTAAATCGAGGTAGAGAAAACCAAAACTGACCTAGACCAGAGATCTAGTCGGAGGAAACAGCAGATTTACTCATGTGATCCGAAAACGAACCGAACATGAATAGATCTAGCTGAAGAAAACAAAAAGGGCGTAAAAAACACCAACGGAACACACTTATTGAAACACGCCGAGTTTATTATAACCGTGGAAGGCGGCCATCATCTCTCCACTTCCATGAAAGGGAACAGGGAGACAGAGTGATGAAGAAGAAAAAGGGGTTAGAGAGAGAGAGAGAGAGAGAGAGAGAGAGTTGGGGCGGCTCGCTTCACCTCCTCTTTGATGGAGGAGATACTTTGCCATTGAACTTTCATTGGTCGGATCTTTAGGTAGTTGAAACTAATTATTGAATAATAATTGTTGGTGCTGAGGATATTTGGCATGAGCTGCAACAACATTTTGCACATTCATGGTAGTTACCTTGGGTTGTTGATGTAGGGAAGAATTTGCCAACATGCTAACATGACTATATAAAGTCTTTTATCTGTTGACACGTGCACAGTTATATGTACATTATCACAATCGATGTGAATTTTTATTTTTAGAAAGAACTAAGTCAAATAATTAAGCCACATATTAAGAAATTGACTATTTACTTTTGAAAATAATTCATCGGAGGAAGAAAAAGAAACGTCTTATGGAAAATCAATCTTACGAATTGTTTTGTCTTGTTCATCTCTCAATTTAGGATTAATTGTGTCTTGTTCATTTTTCAATTTAGGGTTAGGTTTTTTTATGTTTACACTGATGAGTGGTGATATATACACACACACACAGTTTTCACTGATGAGTGGTGATACACACACACACACATGAATAGAATCTGATTGAAAGGTTGGATGGATTAAAAATTCATAACAAACTCCAAACTACTTTTGATGTTAAGTTTTACATAGTTAACTGGGTCAATTCTTATATGATTTCTTACGTGTGTTTACATGATGAGTGTGTACTATGCTATTCAATCTAAAATGGGGTTGAAAAGATATAAATAGAGTATAATATTTATTTCTGAATTATTTCTCAAATTATGGAGATGTTCCTTTATGTTTTCTTCTCTTGTTCATAACTTTCACACTCAATTTCATTTTTTTTTGCGAATGCCTCGATAGTTCAGTGGGTTAGTGTCTTCGATAAGCTTTGAAGTGTCGAGTTTTAACTCTTTATATCTATTAATCTAATTTCTAATACTTGTTGCCTTGTAAAAAAAATAAAAAAAAATTCATTCTCTTTATTTATTTATTTTTTAATATGTCCAAATTTTGATTTCTGGCGATGCCCCAATTATGTTTCGTCACTATAGTTTACACTGAAGCAAATACCATTTAAATGCTCAATGATTCCCCGGAAAATCTTTAAATGCCATGATAAGCCATAGGTTACAATTCATTTAAACAGACATAAGTTGTTGACTTCCACCAATAAATTCTAAACTTAAAAATAAATAAATAAATAATTTAAAGAATCTGAATAATATTAAAGTACTAGCAATTTATTCTTACCTTTCCTACTGCTTTTAGTTTGACTCTTGGATGATTTTCTTACTATAAAAATTTATATGTGTCATTGGGCTTTGAATGTCAGATATACAGCTTTGAATGTTAGTTGAAAAGAATAGCAGTTCTTGTTTTTTTTATTGAAAGGCAGATTTCAAGTCGATAAGTTTGGTAGTTGTAGCAAGCCTTGTGTTAAAGCTTCAGGACTAAGGAAACTGCCCAAGTTCCAAATTCAAAGTCTTACACTTACATACCATATAAAAAAACAGAGGGTTCGTATCAACATTGTTTCTAAAGAGTGCCTCCATTTTACGGCTCGAAGAAACTCTCCGATCATCTCTCTCCCGTCATCGTTGTGGTGGTGGTGGTGGTGGTGGTGGTGGTGGAAGGCGTTGGCAGTCCGTGCCGAGAGTGGTAGTAACTAGTGAGCTAAGATGGGACCTGGTGGACCAGGAGGAGGAGGAGGACATGGGGGACCAGGAGGAGGCGGCGGTTGGGGTGGTCCAGGAGGGCATGGGGGTCCTGGAGGTGGAGGGCCTGGTTGGGGTGGTCCTGGAGGTGGGGGGCCTGGTTGGGGTGGTGGAGGACCCGGTTGGGGTGGAGGGCCGGGTTGGGGGCCTGGTCCTGGAGGTCCCGGATTTTGGCCCGGACCGGGTGGATTTTTCGGTGGGTTTGCCAATGGCTTATGCAGCATGATTGGTTCTTGGTGAGTGCCATCTTAATTTTTTTTTCTGTTGGTAGTGTTTAAATTGTTTGGGACTGATTTTTTTATCTCAATTTTGTTGGCCTTTTTTGCAGCTTGTCCTGTCTTTGCTGTTGCTGGTTGTTTCAGGATTGCTTCGGTGGGCCCGGTGGGCCTTATGGGCCTCCTGGTGGTGGGCCACCTCCTTTCTGATCTCTTGTTGAATGTAATTTGCTTGAAACTACTTTTGTGATGTGTTAAACCCTAACGAACCTTAAAAGCCATTGGCTTCCTAGTATCTTTGTACTTTGATTTCTTACACTTGATAGTCTAAATAAGTAATAATGATGAATAAAATGCAAATCCATATTGTGTATACCTGTTGTATTTGGTCAGTTTAGATAGATTTTTATCATTAAGGCTATGTTTGGATTGAATGATTTGGAAGGATTTGAAAAGGAGGAAAAGATAGTGTGAAATGTGTTTTGAGTTGTCTTAAATGGAAATAAAAGAAAGGATTGGGAAAGAGCCATCCCTTCAAATCCCTACTATGCTATCCTTTCAAAAATGAAAAGATTAGGAAAAAAAATGATAATTATTAATTAATACTCTTGAAAATTTAAACAAAAAACTTATTATGAAACTCGAATTCCATCTTAGAAAAGGGTAATGATAGTAATTTAATTATTATCATTTCTTTTCTCTCCCCATATCTTTTCCAAATAAGAATATTATATTTTTCTATATTTATCTTCATAATTTATCCAAACACAGTATTACTATCCTTTCTTTTCTCTTCTCTTGTACACAATGATATCCTTTCTTTTCTTTTCTCCCTAACATCTAGAATTGGTTAATTCATTCTTTGAGATTTAGATTTGTTTGTGACTCCTAAAAACGTGACTATAAACACAAATCTACCCTCGCAAGCCATATTCACTAACCAGTCGAAGATGTTATATCTATGACTCCTACTAGTTACAAGATGGGAGTCATAGATTGATTGGGCTCGGTTCGTTCCTTAGCATGCATAAAAATAACAGTTTTGTTAAAGTTACCATACTTTAGTAACAAGTTTTTCCGTAAATGTCACTAATGACGTTGCACTAAAAAGCTAAAAGACAAACCATCGTGTTCACCAGCAAGCCTGAATAGTTATAAAATGAACACGAACCAAGTTCTTATCGAACACAACTCTAATCGGATTGAAACATGTCAAATTCATATGCAAAACCCTATTCACATCATATTCTTCCCCTTTCTAAGACAATTTTACCAGATTGGTTTGTGCACATCTAGATCGAGCAGAGTGATTAGGAAAGAGGGAGAGCCACAGCCCAACAATAGCTAATGGTAAAATATTAAACAAGAACTCGAGATCTTCAGGAATTTCGTGTACTAAAAAGGAAAGTGACAGCTCAAAGAAGAGTAAAAACCCACAGGTTCACAATCAAAATCTCTTTGTTGTTCGAGTGCAAGCTGCAATATATAGTTTTGTTGTTCAACAGGAACAAAGTAAATAGAAATTGGAAAATGATGTTTCGTGATATATATATATATATATATATATTCTCTCTGTGGAAGTGAATCTAAATTGAGAGAAATTAGGGAACTACGTAAACTTTCATGTCTAAAAAATCGGAGATAAATTAACTATTTGAATGTGGCATAAAGTGACATCACTGAGTTCTAGATACACATCATAAATTAATACTAAAGAATGACGGAGCCGGGTATCTGGCAGGAAAACGTATATAATCAGTTATTATTAACAAAAATAATAATAATAGTGTTACGGTCAATGAAGACATCACAGAAGTACACTAATCAGAAGTTCAACTGTGACATTAACTGTTAATTGATTGGTATTTTTACTTGTGTTGCAAATCTGCATGAAGCTAAAAGATCATGTTCCCTGAGTTCACGAGCTTCTACGTCAAACGACTACCTAAGTTTTCACCATTAATTATTGGCCACCTCAAAAGTACACATCAAGAGACTATTGACGAACGGCATATTGATTTTTAAAACGAAAAGAAAAATATAACTTCAACAAATTTCTCAAACAACTTTACAAGAAGCCGAAAATGAGGAACCCTAAAATTACGAGATAGTAGCAACATTTAAATAAAAAAATGCCTACTTTGGGGATCCTTACAAACTCAAAATGGATTTCAGGCATTCAGACTCTCACAATGGTTTTAAGTCAGAAAAACCACAATCGCCAGACATATTTCACTCATGACACAATTCTTTATGTACAGGGAATAAAAATAAATTTAAAAACTAACTACTTGCACAGCAATTAAAGGGAGGGATGCAACTATCCAGAAGTTTTCTTGCAACACACCCACATGCCACAGCACTGCAATTGTTTTCCTGAAACTCTCCCGTCACATCCAGCAACACCTCCCAGGTAAATTTAAAGAGCTTTAACAGCTAGAAAACCAAATGAAGTATACAATTAGTAAACATCAAGTACAGAAATTCTAGATGCAGTCCACTTCTGCATGGCAGTTAAAAAACAAACAATGTTGCATTTGGAAGCACCGAATCGGTGACTTGAAATTGGAAGAAATTTAGTTAAAATTTTGAACTAAATTTCCTCCAACTCCAAACCCAAGACACCAATTCGGTGCTTCCCAAACATAGCAAGAATGTTTTTAGCAATGTGATAGTAGTAAACATTCCATGGCCGAGTTCAATGAAAATTTAGAAAATGAAAGTCTAGATGTTACCAAAAAAGAAAAACAAGGTTGGTAGACATCCTGCTTAAAAACCAAAAAGGGAGTACAGGGTTAACATTTAATGCAGGCCGCTTTTGCATGGCAGTCACCGCTTTTATATTATATTATTTAAATAATATTAGTTTATTATTTTATTTTGTAATCCTACTAGGAATAGGATTTAGGGTTTAATGTGTATAAATATACACATAAGGTTTAGGGTTAAGAAGTTTTCATGTTAGAAAAATAAAAGAGACAAAGAGGGAAGAAGAAGAGAGAACGGACAAGGAGTAGGCCGGATCTGAGAAAGCGGATACCGAAATTGGAAGAGACAATCAAAGGTTAAAGCTTCGATTTCGTTTCGAAATCTTCAGGCAAGTTCTCTCTAACTCTCCTCTTAGGACCCATAAATTTATCACTTTGGGTGCTAGAATTTAGTTTAAAGTCATTAATTAAATCATGTTAGATCGGAAAAAAAAAACAAACATAAATTATTATATTTAATTTGTGGATTCGTTGGATTTTAATTATGTATATAGGTGTGCATATTGTTTAAAATTAAGTATAGGTTTGATTTGTGAACCAAGAGGGTTAATTATAATTTCTGGAATTTTTCTAGGATTTCTGGAAATTTTTCTATATTTTTCTGGATTTTATTTATATTTTTCTGATATTTTGGAAATTATATATATAATTATTTATGTGTATTATATATATATATATATACATTGTATACACTGGAGGCTTCAAATCGGCGCATTAACATAGGGTCTTAATCTGGTGCGGCGCGGCTCATTGTATTACTGTGCGCGCGGACCATGAAGGGCTGAGATGATTTGAGGAAGTGGCAGATAATTGGATGCGGTGCGGCACATGATAATATGGTGCACCCGCTGATCTGGACCGTTGGGTGGAGTGGATGAGTGAAGGATGATCCAGTGCTTTGCGGAGCATAGAGATTTGATGCGCTTATGCATTAAGGTCGTGGATGAGGTTTGACCAATAGAAGATTGATCTAGTGTGGGCGAGTACACCAGAGCGTAAAGGGCAACCAATCAGAGGCAGCCACACACGCGCCGAGAGTGGATTAGGCGCGTGAGGGCGCGTGGAAGCTCCTGAACGCGCCTGCCAACTAATAGAAGCGCGTGGAGGCGCGTGCATAAGTTGGAGGAGCGTGTGACGGCGCGTGGAGGCGCGTGCAAGGGAGTTTGAGGTTCCGTAAAGTTCCTGTGGGGTCCGGTGAATTTTCAGAATATGTTTTAAGCTTATTGGGGTTGAAAACAACCACTAGAGGATGTGTTCTTGGTATTCTGAAAACCGTAGAGTGTTACTACGAGGATTAGTAGCATTTCTTTTGAGTAAATATAATAATTTATTATATTGTTATGGAAGGATGTGTATATATGTATATATAAGTACATATATATTTACCTATATGTGTGTATAAAAGGGATTTTATTAAGTTATGATTAGTAAGGAAGGAAGGATGTATATATATATATATATATATATATATATATATTAAATAACTAAGGGTTATTAGGGAAAGATTATACACATATATATTATATTAAATATGTGTATATATATGTATGTGAATTAAGATTATTAGTATTATTCTTTCTTATTTGATATATTTGGATAGACTGGTTATTAAGTTAGGTATGTGCTTATAATCAATAGGGGATATCTATGTATAAATTAGTTATTGTTAAACTTACAATTTGTACATGGATGAGTTGTCATAGGTGTAATTATATTGCCTAGGTATTTGTATGAATAAAAATATATACATCGGAAGCATGGATGAGTTGCTAGGTTATTAGTATAAGTATATATACTTAGAGGAGGCATGGTTGAATTGCCACATGTATAAATAAATATATTTAAAAGAGGCATGGTTAAATTGTCAAATGTATAAATAAATATACTTAAAGGAGGCATGGTTGAATTGTCAATATATAAGTAAATATATTTTTAATGGCATGGTTGATTTGCCAAGGTTCAATTATTGCTATGTGTTAGATGATTAAAATATATCATCTATGGATACTGCATGTATAGGTTGGATTATGATTAATTAGATATTCTTAAATTAGAATAGTCTAATATTTTTAGGATAGTATATTATTTCATACATGTTAACAAAATATTACTGATGGTGACATGGATGATTTGTCAAAGCCTAGTTGTGTGATTTAAATACTTATAAATGATGGTTTTGGTCTAGGGATGATTAAGAATTAATCGTTGGTGAATGGTTTAATCAAATTAGTGAACCTATTAATTGATAGGATTACCGTTTTATATAAAAGTTTTTATATACTTATATTAAAGGTTAAAACTTTAATTAGGATGATTTTGGTTAGAGATGCTTTATTTATTGGTTTTCAGAGGCTTGGTAGAGGGAACTTGCTCGTGGGTCTAACCCACGATTTATTTTTCAGGTTATTAGAAGTTCCAGTCTCAAGGTTGAGGATCCGCAGCTGAGAGACTGTCATTCATCTACTCATCTTGTTTACCTTTAATTAGTATAGTTAATTATTGTTAAATGTTTTGTATAAACTGGTGGTTTATAAGATTTTGGTTTAGGGGTCCTTAACTTATGGGATTCCCGAGTTGTATAATATTTTCAGAATTTGAAACTCATGGAAATATTTTTGTAAAAGAGATTTTATTTTATTAATAGAATTCTATTCAGCGATTTAATCATTTTTTTTTTATTCCTCTTGTATTCTGTGTTCGTTTAAGTACTATATTATTTTGATATTCTCGCATTTTCGGGTGTGGGCCTGGCCAGCCTACACGTGGAAATGTGGGGGTATTACAAAAAATCAACCTGATAATGCAATTGTTAGGTAAAATTCAATGGCCAATTAATTACAGGAAAATTTTGACCTACAATTCGGGACTAAAGCAACACATTTACTCAATCATTGGAATGGTCAATGTGCGAAGGCAGGCAGACCTAGGAACTTTCACTTTTTTTTTTTTTTTTGGGGGGGGGGGGGGGGGGGGGGGAGAGGAAACTAATAGTATGAAAGAAATTTTAAAAAATATGTCAAACTAATTCAGGCATTAATGATATGCACAAAGCTGTGCGGACGACATTTTAGAGAAGGTTTACATTTAAAATAAGAGACATCCAAGTATATTCATTTTATTTTTCATAAATGATATATCCAAAAGTTCACATGCACGTAGCATCAGAAATTTACAAATGAATAATAATGCACATGGTAAAGAATTCATTAACAAATGTTGCAGAAAATTAGACATTTTCCCTTAATCTAGCAAGAGCATAACTAAGAAAATCCAACAGGCACATAAAAGAATATGCTCTTGTGGTGAAGTTAATAAGCAAATAATAGAATCCAGGGTAACAATATGAGAGGGCAAGCCTTGGGACAACGGTTAAGTTGCTCTATTGTGACCTGGAGGTCACAGGTCCAAAACACGGCGTTTGACCCTCCCCAGAACCCGCACTAGCGGGAGCCTTGTGCACTAGGTTTTCCCTTTCAGTGTAACAATATGAAAACACATATGCATTAGGCAAATGGAGAAAAATAATCAAATAAAACCAACAATGAACTAGCAGAACATAGAGATAAAACAAAATTCCACATATTGACCCGCTAGGTTTTAGTATTGTGTATATGATGTATTAGAAAAAAGATAATATAAACTGAGTTTTGATAATGTGTACATGATACTTTTATGGTTTTGAGGCTACATGTGAAGAGAGTTTCTGGTATCTTGTTGGCTGTTATCATGTGGGTTTGGTTTGGGGCCAGATTTGAAATATTCAAAACTCAAGACCTAATTGAAGGTACATAATAGTTTTTAAAAATTTTATGGGGCCAAATTTCAAATATTCAAAACTCAAAAGACTTAATTGAAGGTACTTAACATATTTTTGTAACTTTGGGGGCCATGCCCCCTCCTAGTCCCTTCATTGGTCCACCCCTGCATGAATGTACCGTACCATTTGACAGAGAAATTGTGCAAGATGGAATATAATTTCTAATATTTTTTTGCCAGTCCAAAACATGTAAAAATGATTTGTAACAGGAAACAGAGCTACCAAATAATTTCAGCCGTTTCCACCCAAGTGTTGGGGCTAATTTCTCACCTGTTTGTCAATCATTCACAAGCAATCTTGGTGTCAAAACTGCTGAGGCAGATGGCAAATGCCTGGAATGCTGAGATTGGATACTGATAATCCATGGTAAATAAATCCTTCCCAACTTTTCCAAATTGGAGAATGACATTCTCATGCTCTTGCCCAGCAACTCCATTCTCTAGAGAAGCAACCAGCTGAAAGTTCTTTACTGAAGCAACTGTTACCCGGCCATTGAAATTCAGACACCAGCATTCTAGTTGCTCATGCCACCTGGGGGCCTTGTTCTTCATCACCAGCATTCCATCTTTCTGGGTGAACAAATGTCCATGCTGGGAATTCTCCATGCAGGTTGACTTTGATCTGAAAAATGGAAGGGACGGGAAAGAATCTGTGTTGCTAGGAAGGAATTCAGTCTGCGTGGGTGCCACTCCTCCTGGTTCAATAGCAGAAGCGGGGATGGCATCCATGATGCACTGCATCCTCCTTGGACCCCTATGTTCCATAATTCGTGAATTTCTTAAACTAACCACAAAGACATAATAAGAGAAAACCTATAATCTTGACATTTCAAACCCCTCTCCCCCCAATTTCTGGGGAAAAAAACCCCTTCCACCCTTTCAAAAATAAAAATAAATAAATAAATAAATAAAAAGCAAGCTACTAGTGATATATTTTATTCTTATCTTTCTTCTTCCTTCTTTATAGGATCCTGACCAGTCCCAACAATATCTTACTCACAGAACTTTCCTTGTCTTTTATGTGAAAGAAGAGGGATATTTTAGAATCTTAATCCCTTACCTGGAACCCATGGCATTCAACTCATATGAAATGTGGGCTACAGCATAGTTGCCAGCAGGAACTTTAGGGGAGACTTGTTTCAAACCCACTAGTCTGGTGGAATGACATTTAGTGATATTGACCCTTGCATTTGGAGGCTGTGCATCATGTATTGTGAACTTGGTTCCCAGAAAGTTTGATCTGTCAATTAGGAGAACAAGATGGGAATTCTTTTGGCCCGCAAGATGATGAAAAGCCAGTAATGTTTAATTTTAGCTGCACTTTACTTACCTTAACTTCCCAACATAGGTGCAGCTCCCCTTTGACACATCCTCAGCATTGAATGAGATAATGTAGTCTGTGCATGTTGCATACCTACACTTCCGTGCAGCTAGAAGAAATTTTCCATCATCATGTGAAGCTGCAACGATAACAGGAAAAAGCGAAGAACAAAAAATAAGATTAAAGAAAAGAGAACTAAAAAATAATAGCCATATAAAAGCCGAACGCTCTAGAGAAAAAAGCTGATTCTAGGGCTTTCTGTGAAACTACAGTTTCGCTTGCGTGAAGGGGGTGATTCACCATGGGGGACGATGCATCCTCCTCCCAACTTCAGCCGGGAGTGATCTCTAACCCGGTAGGATCCCCAGAACGCCCTTCATGGAGGAGTATGTTTAATGCTTCAACAGAAGGCTCCTTTGTGAATCTATCATATACTGAGGAGAGTAGGCTTGCTGAAACTACAGTGGTGAATGATGAGGACGTGGAAAGGCATGTTGAATACTGGACATACTCAGTCCTAGGGTTGTGTTTGGGAAGAAACAATACTTCTGTTCCTGAAACACTATATCAACAAACATTGGAATAAAGATGCTCATGTGATGTCACTTCGTGATGGATTTTTTATGGTTCGGTTCCAGATTGAGGCAGAAAGGGATCACGTCCTTGCTAGGGCCTATACATTTGAGGAAAGAGTCGGAAGACCTGTTATAGTGAAATAATGGAATAAGAACGTCCATCTTGAACATGATGTTCTTGGTTTGGTACCAATATGGATGAAGATCCGAGACTCACCTATTCATTGCTGCAACAAGATGGTTATCATGATTGGTTTCTGGAACGTTAGGGACTTAAATAGGCCCCGAATACAGAGAGGTAATGAGGTAGATTACCACTGGCTCTCTGCAGTTTGTTTGCTTAGAAACAAGGGTGTTTGAACAGAATTTTCAGAGAATTACTCATCAGAGGATTAGGTCAGCTTGGGGGTGGGTTCATAACTATTTGGCTCACCCAAATCGTAGAATTTTCTGTGGGTAGAATAAAGAGGTTTTTGATGTGGATATTATCCATAGTGCTAGCCAATCAATGTTGTTGAAGGTAGTTCACAAGCCTTCCAACTCCTCTGTTTTTTTTTTTCTCCTATTTATGCAGCCAATTTTGTGGGAGAGAGGAAGCAATTGTGGAATGATCTGAGCTTATATTCCTTTATGATTAATGAACCTTGGTTGGTTGCTGGTGATTGGAATGTTATCTGTTTTAACTCTGGAAAGATTGGTGGTAGAAAGATTCCACAATCTATCTTGGATGAGTTTAATAGATGTCTGGCTGCTTCTGACCTGGTGGAACTTCACTGTTCTAATCCTACTGTCACTTGGTGTAATAGACAGGGACTGTATAGAAGGATCTATGGAAGATTGGATAGGGCAATGATGAACTCTTCTGGCTTCCATCGTATACTAGTTCTAAGGCCTCACTTCATAATGCTGGACTTTCTGATCATGGAGCTATTCAGGTTGAAGTGTTAGGATGTGGCTAAGGGTCCTAAGCCTTTCAGGATGTTAAAGGTTTGATGTCTGCAAGAAGACATGGAGAAGGTTGTGTCTGATGCCTGGAATAAGGTACAGTTTACTCACCCAACCTCCTCATTACACCAGAATTGAACAAGGTTAAGCAAGCGGTGAAATTATGGAACAAGAATGATTTTGGCAATATGTTTTCTGCTGTGCTGTCTGCTAGAAGTGACTTGGAGGAGGCTCAATCCTTATTACTTCATCAGCCTCTTAATCCTCAGGTTATTTGGATGGAGAATAAATGCAGACAAGAATTGGAGATGGCCCTATCAAATGAGGAGATGGTGGTGGCACGAAAGGCTAGAATACACAGGTTGAGGGACAATGATAGATGCACCTCATTTTTTCATAAAAAGGTGGCTCAACACAGTAATATGAATTCTATTACATCTCTACATAATGAGGCTCGTGTTAGATATTGTGAACAGTGTCATTAAAGAGCAGATGGTGAAGCACTTTTCCAACTTTTTTGCAGCACGTCAATCCTGTGATGGTCCTATTTTGAAGCAGCCAAGAAAGGTCTGCATCATTGATGTTAGAAGCTCCTGTCACTAATGAAGAAATCCAAAAGGTGGTTATGAGCTTTCTTCTTGATAAAGTTCCAGGGCCAGATGGGTTTCCAGCAAGGTTTTATCAGAAATTTTGGGGGGTGGTTCGTCAGGATGTGTCCTGTGCAGTGAAGTATATCTTTGATCATCCACGGTTAGCTAGAGGTATGAATTCTTCTTTTATCACTCTGATCCCCAAAAGGGATAAGGCATATCGGGTGGCCCATTTTCCTATGTAACACAACTTATAAGATTATCACCAAGGTAATGGCCAACAGACTTGCATTGGTTCTAGACTCTGTGGTTGGACAGGAGCAATCTGCCTCCATCAAGGGGAGAAGGATTCATGATAATATTTTATTGGCACATGAGTTGATCAGAGGCTTCAATGGGAGAACTAACCCTTCCATGGCCATTAAGATTGACTTGAACAAAGCATATGATTCAGTTTCTTGGCAATTCTTACTTAATATTATGCAAAGGTATGGTTTTGGCCAGAGATGGATAGGATGGGTAAGGGAATGCTTAACTTCTTCTTGGTTCTCCATAATGATTAATGTCCTCTGAAGATTATTTTAAACCAGGTACGGGGCTAAGGCAGGGGTGTCCTCTCTCTCCTATGCTTTTCACTTTGGTTGCTGAATATTTCTCCTATGCTCTTATCTGTGTCATTTATTTTATGCAGATTATTTAGTAATTGTCACTGGAGCTGATGTGAGAACTGTTACTTCTGTGAGAAGACTTCTTCACGAATTTGCTGAGGTTTCAGGATTACAGACCAACTCTAACAAATCGACAATGTTTTTTCTCTAAGGCTGTCAGAAGAAAACATTCCTTGCTCAGAATCCCGCAATTCAAGGATTCCACATTTCCTGATAACTACTTGGGTATCCCTCTGAATGTTCATGGATTGACAATGGGTCTTGCTCTGCTCCTATTGACAAGGTCAGGTACATAATAGATGCCTGGTGTAATAGGAACTTATCAATGGCTGGGAGAACAGAATTAACTAGGGTTGTGAAATACTCTATTGAATTTATTGATGCTCTGCTTTTCAACTACCAGTTGCTGTGATAAAGTTGATTGAGAGGATGATCAAAAGATTCTTGTGGGGTTCTACAGAGCATAGTTCCAAAATGCATTATATGAGGTGGGATATGATTGCTAGACCTAAGAGGGAAGGTGGCTTTGGGCTTTGGAAAATCTCTGATGTCCAATCTGCTGCAGATTGTAATTTGGCTTGGGATTTCATTAATTCTAAGGAGGATTTATGGTGTAGGTGGTTCAGGGACATATATGCAAGGGGAGCTTCATACTGGGATGCTTTACAGCCCTCATCCAGCTCTGTGACACAGAAGTTCATTCTGTCTGTGAGACCTATCATTCTTCAAGCTGTCTCATTTAACATCTCCGATGGACACAAGTTTAGCCTCTTCCATGATCCTTGGTGTGAGGGGCTCACTTTAGCCATCGATTTGGTCATAGGGTGATAAGACATGTGATTTTTCCTCGAGATGCAAGGCTGGATGTGATTATTGTTAATAACAGATGGTGTTTGATGACTTGGTAGATGAGGGACAGCAAGCTATGAGACAATTTATTGCTGATATCCCTTTACAATCTGGAACTGATAAATTGAAGTGGAATGATGGTGGTTTCAGCTTCAAAAGGGCATGGGATGTTGGCAGGGTACAGAATCCAAGGGTGTTATGGGCTAAGTTGTGTTGCAGCAAGGCCAGGCCCAGACGTAGTATGACTTCCTGCATTATTCTTCATAACAAACAACCCTCCTTAACTTGCAGGAAAGAGGTGTCCCATTAACCTTTATCTGCTACAATTGTATGGCTGCAGATGATAGCAGGCTGGTGAGATTTGTTGCCGGCGTGGGAGTGTGAAAAGCTATTCGTAAGGGTTGGGATGAGCTGTCTAAGCATTTTAGATTCAAAGTTCAGGAGGGCAGGGATGTTAGGTTCTGGGAGGATTATTGGTGTGGGGATGTCCCCCTGTCCCGGTTGTTTCCAAGACTACTTAGCATTGCTGCGGATAGACATGCTATGGTAGCTGACTGTTATCAGCTTGATAGCGGTAGGCTTACATGGGATGTGCGTTTTCGGCAATCTTTCCAGGATTGGGAACTTGAGGATGTCTTTGGCCTGTTGGATCTTTTGTATAGACAGGATGTGGATAGTAGAGGGCTTGATTCCTTGGTTTGGAAGCCTTCTCCTCAGGGGAGGTTTGATGTTCGCTCTTTTTTTCTTTGCCTCGCTGGTTTTCAGGGAACTAGTTTCCCGTGGAAGACAGTTTGGCGTTCAAAGGCTCCTCTCAGGGTGGCATTTTTTGTTTGGACTGCGACTTTGGGTTAAATTTTAACTCTGGACAATTTGAAAAAGAAAAGACAGATCATAGTCAACTGGTGTTGTATGTGTAAGAAGGATGGAGAATCTGTGGATCACCTTCTTTTGCATTGTCCTATGGCTTATGATTGCTGCAGCCTTATTTTTGGTTTATTTGGTATTCATTGGGTTATGCCTCGGTCTTCAAGGGAGTTGATTGATATTTGGGGGGCCCAAGGGTGGCGGCTCATGCTCATGATTGTTGGAGGGTGATTAGCATTTTGAAAGTGCATGATAAAAGATCTTTTGAGGGGGAGGAAACCCCCATTGGGACGCTGAAATTTTCTATCATTAGTTCCCCTTTTTGCTGGGTAATGGGAAGAAATTGTATATCTCTAGATGAGAGAGTGGACTTTTTGGGTTCTTTGGGTCCATAGGGCTCTATGTTTGGTTTTTTTTATATTTTCTTTGGTTTTTTGTTTTTATCTTGGGATGTGTTCCCCTCTTGAACGCTTTCTAATACATTTTATTTATCAAAAAATAAAAATAAAAAAAGAAGGCAGGGATCATTTGTTTTATGAATGTTCTCTTGCTTATGCTATTTGGAGATGGTTGGACTCTATGTTCAATTGAACTTTGCATTGTCAGTCTTTTCCAGAGTTCTTGCAATGGGCTGTGCAGAGGGCCGATCTAGCTAAGCATTTCTCTATGGTTTTTCATCAACTTTGTGGGCTATACGGAAGGAAAGGAATACTAGATTGCATAAGGGCTGCCCAAGGGATGTTGTCGATATTGCTAGAGGTGTTGTGTTTGAAATCTTGGATGTTGCTGATGTTCATTCTGTCCATGACTTGCAGTGTTAGTTTTCAGGCTACTCATTTTTCTATCTTTGTTAGGCTTGCACCCTTATTGGAAATGGTGCTTTTCAAATGTTTTTGTTCCTTTTTCTTGGAGAGGGGATGTCCTCTATTCCCATATGCACTGAATGCCTAATTTTATGAATGATATAACTTCATTTATGAAAAAAATAAAAAAGCCGAAACTCAATCCAATTGTCCTTCTGGAACATTCAGAATAAGGCAACTCAACTCTATGCTATATAAATTCTATTACACTATACTAACAAAACAACTCAGATCATTGCAGTAGAATATGAAATCAATCCTACAATAAGGAGAGCAACAAAAGAACCAATGGCACAAATGTATATTGAAAGAAGCATGAGAAAATATAGATGAAAACTACTGTTCAGTTGGTCACCTTGATATAAACTGAGATAGAGGTGATATGTTTGGGTGTTACGATTCCGTTTTATATAACACTGAATGAGGGAGTCCCTTGGACCAGGCTGCACAAAAAAATAAACAAGAAGCTTTTAGTATGAACCCACAAATACAATCCCACCTCCCCAACCCTTATCCCCCAAAGAAAAAGAAAATACTTAATAAAAAAGTCCAAGAAAGTTTTCCCACAGAGATTTATATGTTAGCGTAATCTGCATCAAATTTGATGCAGATTACACAGCACTCCTACATAATCCAGTTTTAATTAGGGTCCCGTGCAGCCCTTGTGTAGTTCTAGGGATGCGTTCCCCTTTTAAACACTTTCTAATACATTTTTACTTATCAAAAAAAAAAATCATAATCAAGTTTTAAGGAACACAATAAATTAACAATCTGCAGATATGTGGCCTCTCTGAGCCATGTAGAGGCTAGTTGCAGTGCCATGTGGACCTTTCATTAACCGCCACATGGACTTCAAGAATTTTGCAACATTAAACCCTATAGCTGCCCAATAGAGCAGCCATGTCAGTCTCAGACCTCGACACGAACATCTTTTGACAAGGTACCCTAGACTAGCAGATCTCCACAGACATGATCCCCATCACATCGTCACCATTGATTCAGAACCTTGATGCACTGGTGTCTTCTTGGGTTGATGGCGAGCCGGGAAGCTCCTTGAGCTTAGTGCAAGGCCAGTATCACATACGAGCCAAGATGACCTGGTGGCTGCAGTGTGATCGAAGCACCATGTAGTGGTCCCTCATAGTCCTTGCGGTTTCACTGTTTAGATGCTAAAATCACCGATCAATTGAGGTGTGATTACTCAAGTCAGAACCGCAGATTGCATATAATATGATCTTTTTTCTTTTTTGATAAGTAATCTTATATGATCTATTAGCGAGAGAGAAACCATGTCATGTCCCAAGGGATGGTTAGAGCTGAGCACTCCAATACTTCACATGCTTCCTATGCCAAGATGGAAAGTTCGGCTTACCCATAAGACAAAATAAAAAGCACATGCTCCATGTGATTACACACCTAATGATAGGGGAGATCCCCAGTTCAATACTGATCAAGGACTCCTGGTCTCACTCCAGTTGCAATACACCCTTGACCCATACTGCCAGTCTCTCCTTCTAAACAACCGTGCAGTTAGAACAGGTTATTTTTGCGAATACTAAACCATTTAGAAGGATAGGAACTGTTTAATCCAAAATTTTCATGCTACTGATACAAAAGTTGGTGCATTGTTCAGAATTAAGACTTCTGTTACAGTCCTTCAAATTCATCGAACTGATCGTAACAATGTTAGTACCGGATTATCAGGTAATCATGGACTGGTACTTAATTCTGACCTCACAAGGCTTCACAAATATTAAGACAAAAAAAAAAGATAAAATAGTTCTCACTCTAATTCCATGTCCATATTTCTGTAACTGTAATATCTAAAACTTCCGCCTACACAAGCCCATAGTTGTTAAAGGGCGCTTAGGCCCCAAAAAACCCCCAGGCCGTCAAGGCTCAGCTAGAGCGTCTCAACCTAGTACAGGCCAGGCCCCTTCAACCAGGCTCACGCTTTTTAATAGGCTCCGGGATCAAAAAAGGGGCAGCTTTTATATTGTAATCATTTATTCATATCATTTTCTTTTATTTAATGACTACAAATTAAAATGTTTAATATCATATCATGATCACATTTAATGGACCATATTGTTTAACCTTACGAAATATTTGACAAATTCATAAATTTACGGTTCACTACTTACATTAATTGCATTTAGTGCTTGATTTTGAATATATATGATAATATATGTTCAAAATTTGCATGATTAGATTATAGTTTTTTATTGTTCCAGATTTTGTAACAACATTTAATTTGGTTAATTCATATGCATATGAAAGGAATTATGAGTATTAATTTATCTGATATTATTAGTTGATATATAGAAAATACCCTTTTTAGAGAATTTTTTCTTATTTATTTAGCATATTTCGATATTGACAAGTGTGTGTAACATTGTTTAATTATTTTTTAGATATTTATAATTTATATGCATTATTATTACACACGCACCTTACTTCAATCAGGCTTGCATGTTATATTGCACCTTGCGTTTAGGCTCTAGAAGACCTTTGGCGCCTTAGAGTGCCTTGGCCCTTTAACAACTACGCACCAGCCAACGCAACACCCTTCACTTGCTTGCTAACAAAAATTTGCACTTCTACTTGATAAAAAAACATGCAGATTAAGTGTTTTACGCAATTATGTTATTAATATATTTAGTAACTTTCTTCACTATCTTATACTCCATAGCTCTTCCATATACATACAAAAAATCAAACTGAGTGTCACAACCCGCTCCCACACCGTTCAGATATTGTCCAATTTGCACAGTCTCCTCTTGGTGCTCACGGTTTTGCTCAAAATGCGTCTATAGGGTAAAGGCACACATATAAGTGTCATCAAACCTCTCCCACCGGGTGATATGGGACGTCACAATCACTCCCTCTTGGGACCCAACATCCTACATAGCCTGATCCACATGGACTTGTGCACGTCCCCCCATTTCCGGCCGAGGATCAACTTATGATATTACTCCGCTTTAAACACTCTCCTCTAGGTACTCAAGATTTTGCTCAAAACGCAACTATAGGGTTAAGGGGTGTCCACACATATAAGCGTCATCAAACCTCTCCCCCCTTCAGGTAACATGGGACGTCACATAGAATAGGAGGTTGTGAACCTCGACTTCACATCCAGTAAAATGCTCATCTCTATGTCCACAATATATGGGACAATAACATTACTTGTGCAAAGAGAGAAATAGGAAACATTTTGCAGTCAACTCCAGTACCAGGTATCTGGTTTCTACATTTCAAATGTGATCTCTCTCTCTCTCTCTCTCTCTCTCTCTATATATATATATAGCAAATTTTCATATCTTTCAAAGAAGTAGCAAGTTACAATAATTGCTTCCACATATGTGCACGAGGAGGTGGCCTGAAGTAACATTGTTAATTGCAATGAATATGCAAAATGACATTAACTGAGACTCTGATAAATAACGGCTCCTACTGATTACTTAAAATGAAAACACTATGACATTACGCTCTTTGTTTTATCATTGTTTCCTTAATTTGCTACCTATCCTTTTATTTCTATCAAACATATTAAAGCCAAATTCATCCAATACTTCAATAGGTCCCGAACTATCAGTCAATATGCCAATTATTCCAAATAATTTGGGAATGACAACACACTGTTGATTTCCTTACCATTTACTGCTTCTCTTATTGTCAAATAAGCAATTAGACTGTCTCCATATTATTTCGAATAACATCTTATTTAAGTGCTCTTAACTTCAAGTGGTCTTGATCAAATATTCTCTAATATTTTACACATCTTTATTTTCAACTATAATACCTTCAGTTGCAATGCAGAAGACCAGGGTAAATACAAAAGAAATGAAAAAATAAAAATAAAAAGGAAAGAAGAAAAAAGAAAAATACTAGTAGAATAGGAGGATAAATTAAGAAGTTTTAATTTAAGTTATAATACCGATGTGTTGCTGTTGCATTAATTAGTTAATTTAATTTGCATTGGAACTTGGAAGAACGCTAGAGAAATGTATTAATTACAAGAAAATGCAAAGAAGCTTTGGACTATGGAATGAGCCATTCCACACGTGCAACTGGACAAGTCAAAATTCATAAGGTATACAATGATGCCTCTGATCCAAATCACATGTCCTTAACATGTTCCATCGGAAAGAGTTGAGGCAGCATATTAGCTAATTCCATTTTTTGAGCATATCATAGATTTATGAATAGACTCTAATATCCATAACAGAACAATTCAAGGGATGGTATAAACTTCAACACACTGTTCACACTTACAGCACCTTGAACTTCTGTTCATGATGATAAGACTTTCTTAAATTTTGTTTAAAATATAAAAGTTAACAAGAAACGTCGTAACAATATTTTAAGTGTACGTAAGAAAATTATCTTTTATCAGCCTTAACAAAACTACACAAATATAGAGGCATGAAGATGATGATAATCACATGGAAAGTAAACAGAGTATCAAATCACAATTTATGAAACTACGGTAACTAAATTAAAAAGAACATTGAGACAAAAAAGTTGAAAGGTACAAAAGTTTAGAGCTCTTAAGACGTCATATATCAAACCTGCTTCAAGGAGATCGGGAACGTCAGCTTGCCCGAGATTTCAAGACTTCTCACAATTTCCTTCATGATTTCTCTCCAACTCCTACAAACACAGGCACAAGCAACAACATTCTTCCGAGGAGGCCAAGTATTTTCAGATGCTTCAATCCTCATTAACACATCCCTCAAAAGCTCGGGAGGCATATTAGCCCAACAACTCTGCTGCAAACCATCAACCACCACTGAACTATCCTGAACCACCCGGTGCGACCTTGACCTCAACCCATACCCAAACTTTACTTCAAACCCTTTTCTAGAAATGCTCCCAAGCTCCCCCCTCATGTCTTGAATAATACTCTTAAGTGACATCTAAGTGCCCCCCTAGTCTGTCAACACATCAACGAACACTTGCAATGTTATAATAATAATCCTAGCCCTCCAATTTTTCCTCAAACCCACATCAAATGAGCTTCAAATTAATTAGTTATCCACACATAGATGCTAACAACACTAACAAAGGAAACCCAGAAACTACAGAGCTAAAAGATGCAATCTTTGATGAAACTTAGAGACAATCATCCCCAAAATTTTCCTATAAATGTCAAAATCAACAAAAACTTTCAGCTAAATTTGGAAAATATACAAAACCAGTACTTACCAAACAAAGAAAGAAAATAGAAAAGACCAGACCGCAAATCTACCAACTGAAGATCACATGCATCAATTCAGAAAAACGAAAAACTGTACCAGTCAATTCGATTACCCAAACAGAACCAACAGATATCAACAACTTCTACAGATCCGTCCCTTCAGATCATCACAAAAATACTAAAAAAAGTGAATGCAAGTGATACCCAATCATCCTTGAGCAACTTTATGAAGACTGAGAAATGTAGATCAAATGGGGTTACGGTTAAAAAGATTAAAATTTGAGATTAGGGTTGATCAAAGCTTAATTATGAGAACTTCAGATACACGAGATAAGTTCCAGACATTAGGGTTAGGTTTGTTGTGATCTGTGTTTCTTGCTGTTCCAGCTGAAATCAGTGTTGGGAGGGGTCACTTTTTAATGGTCTTAGTTGATTTGGTCTCTGCCATAGTGTAAAGTTGGCGGGGTCGGATCTGGTTTGGACGGTCCAAATGTTTAGTTCAGGTAAAAACTTATTGGGTACCTAGGCCCGGCTCGAGCCTTAGTGACTTAGACAATCGCTTGATACCCCATTAATAAGAAGGCTCTAAAATTTTAAAATTTATTTATATTATACTATAATTATTTTTTAATATTATTAAACTTTAATAAATATAAAAAATTTATGTTAGCCCTTAAAGATTCTAAAATAAACTTCTCAAAGATTTATATCCTAAAATAATTTTTTTTTTTTTTTTTTTTTTTTTTTTTTGTCAATTCCAATTCGTTTCGATTTTATATTAAGCCTCATATATTTATATCCTAAAATAACATAAATTTAATATTTTTTACCTCCCCTTTCTATATTCTCATTCACGTCTTACAATAAATCCTAACCAATGTAGAAATTTAATATTAGGCCCAAAAATCTTTCTTTCTCTCTCTCATTCACGTTTTTTATGCCACCAACAGTAAAATACTAAATATCTATTTAACATTGTTGTTTGGAAAAATGGCGAAAACTTTATATATATATATATATATATATATATATATATATATATAATTTTATTAACTTTTGTTATTATAAATTTGTGTGTATATATATTTTGTATATTTTGTTTTTGAGTTGTGACTAATTTTATTTATATTGTTGAAAAAAATATTTTGTATATTTTGTTTTTGAGTTGTCACTTTTTATTTTTCGCCTAAGGCCCCAAATTAGATTGAGCCACACTTATGGGTTCCATTCTAAGTCACACAATCATTCTCAACAGGTGTCGATATTAGTCTCCAAGCGCTCTCCCCCTCTCACTCTCAATGCACGATCTCACTCAAATTCTCACTATTTATGACATAATTTTGTCGCTTTCATGTTCCCACTTTATGTGACTTAGGTATCTTATATCACAACCCAATAATATAAAATACTCCAAAAAAATATTTATGGCAATTTGAAGACAAATTATTGAATATCCATTGAGGTATCAAATCTTGATTGAAATAAGGTAAAGTGCAATAAACTCCCATCAACTATACCCAAGTGCAATTAACCCCCCTCAACTAAAATAACCCCTTGGAAATTAGTTAAGTTTTAGGATATTTTTCAGGTCATCTCCTATCATCGGAAATGTAAAAAGTCTATTTTACTCCTATCATAAAACGGTGTTGTATCACAATGAAGAGTAAAATGACTAAGGTTAAATGATGTGGGACCTGGTGTAATCAGGAGAGCCACTAAATTGTTGACACGTATGCAACCTAACTGAGCTTCTTTTTTTTGAAAATTAACAAAGATTTAATAATGCCCCTTTTCTGTAACACAATACCCAAACCCAACCTAAGCTTGCAATCCAAATCTAGCCAGAGCATTACCATGCAATAAATTGTTTCATTCCAATTTCACAAACTCCTAATTCCTCCTCATGACCGTATCAAGCATGAAAAGGTACAGCTAATAAGTGCCGAACACATCTTGGCCCTTATTCTTGCATATGTTAGTAGCTTAATTCTATCTTTACTTACATTTTTAGTTCTAATTTGTTTAATATCCGATTTAAGGTGTTTAGGGCTAAAATCAGTACTTTAAAGCTTCTATATACTGAATGAAGTCTTAGCGAAAAGGGGTGAGCAAAAGAAGGCTGAAGTGAAGAATTCAAGGCAACTCGATTGATCGAGTACTGTTCGAGACTCGATCAATCGAGTTCGGGTGTGAGACCTTTCAACTTCAGATTTTGATCCCTTTTGAAGGCCATTTTGGGGTGTACTCAAGCAAGGAGTCTCATGTACATGGTCTGCCCATTTCCTAGCCATAAGCCAAGGTATAAATAGAAAATTGGAACCTATTCAAAAAGGGAAATTTGGATTTAGACAAGATTGGAGCACTCTCTCTCTCTCTAGGTTTCTCTCTCAAGGAAGATTAAAGAAGAAAGCATTTGGTTATGCTTGGAGACGAAGATTCAACATTCTATGAAGATTCACACCACCTCAATGGTTAACTAGACTTCATCTTAAGGCTTAGATAAAGCCCTAAGCCAAGTAATTTGTATCTTGCTTTCATTTTTGGGGGATTTCATAATTGTGTATTGATTGTGTAGCCTTTAAGATTGGCTTGGTTGTACCAAGATTAATTGTGCTCTAATTATTTAATTGATCTACTCTTAGTCCCTATATTGTCTTTTATATTGATTATTGTGGATTGATCTCAACATTCTCACTTTTTGTTATTGTGATAATGATGGTTATGTAATGGTGCTTATGGATATGATTGTAACTAACTTGATAGTCCATGCTTAGTGAAGATGAATTTTGCTACACATTTAGATGATAAGTAGGTAGGTAGGCAATTGTTACTTCCTGTATTTTTTTTTTTCAATTTTTCATATTAATTTTTCCCTAACGCCTTGTCTTACATGTCGGGCATCGTTTAGCATTCCGTGGGTTCTGGAGGTTTTTAGGACATTTATTTGAGTTTACAATTCTTAGAAATGCATTTTGATTCGTTTTTTTCATTTTTTAGAATTTTGCTTCGAGAGGTCTCGTGTCGGCCCCACGCCCGGATTTCTTGTGCTCGAGGCAATTTTTTTGGTTCATTACATTTCATATTTGTTATTTGATGTATGTTTATGTGTATATGTGTCTAATTATACAATGTGGCATGTTATAGTATGTATTTTCATGAGAAGGGCACTTTGCACCATTTGTTGATCAACTATAGGGCACAAGGCTTGTGACAACCCAGATTCTCAGAACCCGGTGCATCAGCGAATGACCCAAAATAACCCGATAACGGATCCCAAATGCTAAAACGAAACAAAAGGAACAAGGTCTCTAGAGATGTACGCCATCTCTAAGACACCTAAGTGGCTTCCCGAGGAGTTCCGAGACTCAACGGAAGCAAAACGGAAGATAGGGTCTCAAAACTCTACAAGAAATGAATCAAGGGTAAAATGGTCATTTCAAACAGAAATGGATGCCACCGTGCATACCACTAGATAGACAACAAAAAACGAATAAGGATAGACTCAAGAATCACTTGATTCGGAGTCTAGACGAAGAAGTTAACAAACCCCAAAGATTACAAAAAACTGGACAAGGGAGTGCAAGTGCGAACAATCACTGCTACTTGCAACATATGAGAAAAAAATGCAATTTTGAAGGCCAAGATGAAGTTTTTTGGAAAATTTTAGAAGTAACCCCCCCCCCTTCCCCCCCCAAAAAAAATCATGTTTTCTGATCAATTATGGTCCAAACCAAAATTAATATACAACTTAGAATGCCCAAAATGCCCCCAAGATAAATCAAGTCAAGAAAATTAAAAACATACTGAGTTGCTGCCAAAGAAATGGAAATGGGGCTTCGGGAGATTTTTCTAAGGCCTAAATTGATAATACGGTATACAAATACACTCTATAGACCCCCGGAAGTCCCGGAACAGTCGGCACGATTCTATAAAAAAATGCAATGAATAGTAACTATGACATCAAAATGAATATTTAAAACAAAAGCCCTACTTTGCATACATTCAAGTGGTTGGCCCTTGATCTCATTACATATGTGATACAAGTACATTAAATAAGAGTTATACAAGTGCTCATTTCACAACAAAAGGGAAGCAAACATGCTTCAATTACATATTACAACATCAAGAGATACCAAGTGATGAGCACTGAAAAGTGCGCATTTAAACCCATTAAGCTTAAGCATTCTAGTACCTTTATCTATCTTACTTTGTCGTTTTAGACTTATTACGTGTTATTTATATTTTCAGGCACTAATCCCAAAATTGAGCTAACTCAGCCAAATAAGAGCTTAATTGAAGCAATCCTGAGATAAACCAAAGGAGGGAGCAAAGTGGAGAAAGCAAGGAGCAAAAATGAATCAAAGTTGTGCAGCTGAAAAGTTCGATCGATCCAACTTAAAGTTCGATCAATCGAACATCTATGATCGATCACAGTACTTCTCGATAGATCCAACCTTGGCCTTTGCTGAAATTCCAAGTTCGATCGATCCAACATCACCTTCGATCAATCGAACCCTATTTTGTCCTATTCAAATGATTGATCTTATCCACAGCTGTACGCCTACCAACCACTTTTGTCCTTTTCCCCATAAATATCTTCGAAATATCTCAGCCTTGTCCTTATCCGGAGGAGTCAGACCACTTCGATCGATCCAAGATGCAGTTCGATCGATCGAACCCATCTTCGATCGATCCAAGTTAAGGTTCGATCGATCGAACTTCCTCCAGCGAGAAAAAGTTAAAGTCCAGCTCATTTATTCCGTCCTTCACCCAATCATTGGAGAATATGCCTTGTACGACCACAGCTCATCATAGGGTGTATTTGACCTACCTATATAAGGAATATGATACACTTTTTGGAGAGGAGTCTAGAGTCTCTTGTCACACATTGAAAATCATCTTGGAGGCTATTCTTGGAGAGGAGGAAGGAGGGAAGCTAGAGCACCATTGGAGGAGATCTTCACCAACAAGGAGCAGCCATGGAGTTAGCCCTTGAGGGTTGGATCATCACTACCATGAGTGTCTAGACATCCTCTTGGGGCTAGAGTTAGCCCCAAGCATGCTTTCTATACTCTAATCTTGTGTATTATTGAGGGATTAGTGTTGTATGATACATCTTGATATTCATGTATATATAAATCTTGATTATTTCATGGTTTGTATGGTTTAATGCTTCCAATTGACTATTCTATTCTACCCATATGTCTATGTATGCTAGAGTGGGATATTCATGTGCTTATCTCTAGATTTAGTGTTTTTGATGCATGTCTATGTGTATTGATGCAATAGATCTAGAGATTATCAAGATGATATGCTTAATGAATGCTATTTTGGTTCATTTGATGGTTTATGCCTATTCTTGATGGCTTGTGCCTCTCCCCTAGTCTAGATAGCTTTATTTTCATGCTAGTAGTGTAGATTTAGTGTAGTGGTAGTATA